CTACATAACAACATTGTAGGATTGGCATGTAAGGCAATACAAACAAAAAAGTTGTCCTTTGCATGTGTACATACAAAACAAGAGTGGGAAATCTAAGTTCATTCTTGAAGATCACCTTGATCTTCACTTATGAACTCAGTTGCTTGTGGTTCTGTCTGCATTTGTGTTTCTTGCCCTGCTTGTATCCGTATAAGTGTTGCTTTTGCTTCCTCCACCAACTCAGGATTGATCTCCATATTCTCTGGTAACCTCCCCTGTCTGTCAAGCTTGTCTTTCCCAAGATGTTTGAGCTTCAACTGATTTCCACCTTTGTGCATCAATATTTGTTCCATGACACACTGAAAACTTAAGAAAACTTTGTTTAAAGTGTAAGATGTTAGCTCATCATAAGCAGTTGTCACAGCTTGAGTTAATTGAACAATTCTTTTAGGGGCTTTCTGTTCCTTCAATGAGTCAATTGCACGAAAAAAAACCAAGTCTAACACATTCAGGTCTGGGCTATTTGGTGGTTGGAAACTAAGCTTTATGTTCCACCCATCTTCAGTTGCACACTCCACAAAATCTGCATCATTTACATCAATATGTGGCCTTGCATTGTCTTGTTGAATGATGATGTTCCTGTTTTGTGCATATGGCCATTTGTGTTTGATTGCTGGTAAAACTTTCTGTAGCATCATGTCCTTAATGACACTTCTGGTTACAATTAATGTGGTTTTTGTCTTTATAGCACTGTCCCATCCTCCCCAAATCTAGGCCTACCCACAACTGCTAAAAACATCACTTTGGGTATAATTTTTTTGGATTGAGCAGATCTGTAGGGGTCTACCTCATCTGGATGGGTGTAGTATGTTGTGATTTCTTTAGATAAAAAGAACCACTTTTCATCAATGTGAATGTGATCAAAGAAATGATGAAAAGTGGACTTTTCTGGGAAAGGTCTAGGCACAATATGAGATAGACAGAAATGTAACCTTTTTACCTTTCCAGCATGTGTAAGTAATGGCTTGATGGCATTTGAATGCCTCTTTATTTGCTTATCTTTGACTAATTTGTGCACAGAAGACTTGGACATGTCCAGGGCAAATCCCAATGCTCTGATGTTCTTTCTTTGATGCAGTGGAATGTCTTTTAACTTTTCTAAGTCAAAAGCAACTCTTTTTCTTCCCACATTTCCCTTACATTGGCTCTGAACATTAATAGGCACCCCATCATTTAGCTGGCTTTTAGCTTTGGCCCACACGTTGTTAACTGTACACCTAGAACAGTTGAAATTTTCAGTTGTTTGTCCAACAATGCTCCTCTGAAGTTTTCCTTTGCTCAAATTTGCTAAAAGTATTTGTACCATACTGCTTTTCTGTGCATTACTTAGTTTAGGCACCTGCCTTGTAGCACATTCACTGCCTTGAATGTTATGTGTTGCAGGTACATATGGAGTAGCACCTGCACTGCCATTTGAGAAAGGAGTAGTTGCACTGCCATTTAAAGAAGGTGTACCTACTGCAGTTCCATTTAAGGAAGGTTGGGCTTCTAGAGAGAGATAAAGAAAGATTCATGGGGTAGTAAAGGATAGGCTTGAGGTTGTTGTACTTATTTGAGTGTAAATATTTTGGGTTTGGGGGAAAGTTTGAATTTTCATCCGTATGGATTCAATGAACCCTCCAAAAATTTGGAGGGACTTTTGGTGTGTTGTACGCATTATTTCAATAGGCAGTAAAAGGAGTAGACACTTTACTGTAGAACCATCACTTCATGTACTTTTACCCTTTATTTTTACCCCTTTACTTAATTTTTTACTCAATGAAGTTTGTTTACACTTGTGCAAGATGTGGGAATGGTGGGGGTAGTTTAGGAAAGTCAACAACATTTTAACTTTTGCATAAAAGTGTGTGAGAGTCAAACCGAGAAGATCTTTACGGGACGGAGGGAGTATATTACAAAAAAAAACAAAAAAATGCCCTGAGCCAGGCCCAGCCAGGCCACCCCCTCCCTCCACCCTTGGGTGCACCCATGCACCACAGCCCCATCACTAGCAAAGATCGTCATTATGCCCTTAACAAATTGGAACACATGTAAACAACCCATTAGTGGCTCATTATTGTAATCGGGGTTCTCAGACCCAAGACCTGGGAGTCTAACCCATATTCCCTCTATAAATACCCTCCCTGGGGTAATTCTAGAGGGTTCACAACTCATTTACTGCGAGCTCTCTCTCTCTTATTAATGATCTCTTCTCTCTAAGCTATACCACTAACGGTTTACCACGAAGCTATCACATACTATTTTACAATTGTATCAAATTGCATGATTAGTTAGGGTATGAGAGAGTAAGCCACCCATACATATGTTACCCATTTTCTTTGATAGGTGGAGCAATTGACTTGTGTACTATTCACATAATTTGTTATGACTTTATTTTATTTATTAATACTAGTATAATACTATAATATTGCTTAATCTCTTATAACTTTGTCATTTACCAATTATATAATGTTAAGTCCACCTTGACAAGATTTGAATTAGCATTAGCAATTAAAATTTATACAAATAGAAACTACATGAAAAGTTCCTAAAAACTAATTATGAATATGACAAAAAACGGTATTCAAATTAAAGCTAAAACACGAATTATGTTGGCCACATGAATAATAAACAGACATAGTTTAATCTCTTATAACTTTATCATTTACCAATTACAATATGAAAAATACTTTTACATTTGTTTCAATGTAAGTTTCCAAAATATTTTTAATTTTTTATAATCTACGCTAATTGTGAGTTAAATATACTAATGATTGAAATCGTGTCATGTTAAGCGTGAAAGTCAAATTGTCAACTAAACAAGAGACAAGATTAAGATGTATAGATATTTTTTATATAGACCGAGTCGGGGTGTCTAATTAGTGATATCCAGCAGCTATTCTCACGATGTTAATTATCTAGGAGTAAATTGCATAAATGGTCCCTAAACTATTATCATCATATCGTTTTGGTCCTTCAACTAATAAATCTATCATTTTAGTCCTTATTCTATTTGATGCATTTTAATTCAGTCCTTCAATTTCATTTGGCCGTTTACGTTAACGGTGGTCAAACATACTGTTGGGATATTGACCTAGAGGCCCAATACCCAGATCGGGAAGGCCCAAGATATCCGGCCCAAGTAACAGGCCCATCACTCTATGATGAGAAGATCCAGTAAGGAGACATACCGAACGGGGTTCGGCCCAAATAAAGGTTGGCCCAATAAGAAGACATACCGAACGAGGTTCGGACTATTTACTATACTTGGGCCAAGTTGACAGCTTCTTCAGTATGGACCAACATCCCGTTCGAGCAACGGCCAACCAGCAAGTGGCCAGGTGCAGTTAATGCCAGACTGTGACATCAGCAAATGGAAGCATGGATGACCAAGTCGGTGGAACAACGGCCAATCAGCAAGAGGCAGCCCATGCTCTCCATTAGTATAAATAGAAGGTTTCAAGTCATTGTAAGGGTTAGCATTTCAATACTCAAGCTCTAGAATAGCATCATTTGCTCTTATTTCTTGTATTAAGGCATAGTTTCCGACTTATCGATCGGGAAATCCCTTGTAATCAGATTGGTTAATTAATACAAGTGAGCTTTCGAGTTTTAGTTAGTTCAGATCTTATATTTTCTCGTACACCTTGATTCTGGGCCATTCCTGAGATATCCAAAGTTCGTGTTGGGCTTTCGGATCTACGGGACTTACCCTCAACACATACAATATTTATAAAGTGTTATAAGACACATCCTAACTAAATAATTCCTCTTTGGCCAAAAAAAACTAGGGTCAATTACCTAAATATGACTGAAAAGTGACAAAATTGCACAAATAGGATTACTAAAAATGTTGGCAGATTTCTGCAGTGATGGGGGCTAGTTATGGTGGGGGTGGCAGAGGCAGCAGTGTTTTTATTTACGTTTTTTTGTTTTTTAATTTTATATTTTTATTTTTGCTTTTGAAAAAATGAAATTTTATTTTATTAATTTTTATTATTTTTAACGATTTGTATTATTTTTTACGATTTTTATTATTTTTCATGATTTTATTATTAATTACTCCCTCAATCCCCATTATATTGTCTTGTTTTACCTTTTTGGAAAGTCCCACTAAAATTGTCTCATACCATATTTGGTAAAGTTTGTGTGGTTTTAAATCATTCTTACTTTATTTTTACTTTATCAATTAATATCAACCACACAACCCACTTTTCTTAATAACTGTGTCACCCTCTTCTGTCCCTATATAAAAGGGACGGAGATAGTAAAACATTTCAAAAGCTACAAGGGTATATTTGTCCAAATACATACAAATAGTCCTATTAGGGGAATTTAAAAAATGTAATCTTATTTATGCAATTTTGTCACTTTTTAGTCCTATTTAGGTCATTGACCCTAGTTTTTTTGGCCAAAGGAGAATTATTTAGTTAAGGATGGGTCTTACAACAATTTATAAATATTGCATCTTTGGCCACCGTTAATGTAAACGGCCAAATGAAACAGAAGGACTGGATTAAAATGCATCAAATAGAATAAGGACTAAAATGATAGATTTATTAGTTGAAGGACCAAAACGATATGATGCGATATGATGATGATAGTTTAGGGACCATTTATGCAATTTACTCATTATGTAGACTCCAAACTAAGTGAAAATTTGTTCATGGAAAACTTTATAAAAACAACATGCAGACTAACATACTAACATGCAATGCTAATCTCAGGCACAACCAGAAGTCCAGAACATATACATCCATTCATGGAAGCAAAGCATATAAAAGTTGATGAATAGGATATTGTAATAAAAAGAAACGAGATAATTGTACTAGAAAAAATACTTAAAAATTATCATAAAGTGTGGCAAACCTAAAGGCCATCTAGATTGGTGTTCATTAGTTCATTATACTGAATTGAAATATTCTGCCTCTTTAGTCACTGTTATGACACCATTGCTGATTAGCTAAGCAGTGAACCAGGGGTGATTCAAATAAAGAGAAGACTTGAACTCCTTTATGCGTCTATAATCATGACCACAAAATGTTTTTTAGTTCAAACTCAGAGAGCAATATGATATATATACACTAAGCAAAGAGTATGCCTCCTGATCTTCCATTACAATAGATATGGCATTGTTTCTGGCCTTATAGAGCACCCCTCCTTTAATTATACACGCATTACATACACTAAGCAACAACATAAAGGCGACAAATTTTGTGTGAACTTGTGCTAAAAGACCTGTTTTTACAACTTGTATGTGGCTCTCTTGGTATAACCCAAAGGATTGGTGACAACACTGACCATCCCCTCTTTTACAGACAATTCACTGCAAATTGGATTTGCGGCGCTTCCCTTGTAAGCTTTGCAGATGTAGCTTAAGAAGTTCTCATAATCCTGCAACAAGAACATTGTAACTGTTAAATCATACTCCATAAAATACAACCTTTTATTGATGCAACTCTGAACATACAACATAATTTACTGAGATTGTTACAGTGTATATAGGAAAATAATGGACCTCGACCTACGGTAAAACTTAAACTTAATAGGAATAAAAAAGACTACAGTACTACTAAAACTATGATAACTATATTACCAATTCAATACTTCAATAGCAATATAGTTAGTCACTGACACTTCTCTCCTTCACCTTCGGTAAGAAAACTTGCTATGCATCACTCACTCACATAAGCATCAAATTTGATTTAAATACTCTTATCGATATGTGAGAGAGATGTCCCTTAATATTCAGGAAAAATTTGTATTTGCGTCCTGTTTTTACTTCACGACTTGACTTTACAGCTCATGTTTCTTCAACTTTTGCACACCAGGTTAATATACCAAAATACTCATTAGATTTTGCTCCACAAGTTTGCCTTGGTGTGTGAGTTTGCGGTGCAACACCAAAGAAAATAAGATCTGGAGTATAAAGTCAAATTTTGGGGTAAATTTGGGCTACAAAATCTAAATTTCCCTAATATTCAGTTATGTCAGTAAAAGGCTATAAGCTGATTGCCCAACTAAGTGAAATAGCTGATTAGTCATTTACAAAGTCCATTCTACTAAGCAGGAGCCTGACCTCATATAGGGGCTGTCCATCCACAACTACCCATGGCACGTACTGATGAGGAGGCTCAAGGGCATTTGTATCCGCTGCATAGCTCAACTCAAGCTGCAATATTGAATATGGTCAATGAGAAAAAAAACGATGAAATCTTTCCTTTTAAATAAACCTTCCAGACATTCAAATAGGATTTTTTTTTGTAGTAGTCCAAAACCTCATAGGTTGGTTTTTAATTTGTATACTTCATATGTGAGATGATCACTTAACATTAACAATGAATGATGGGTATAAATAGGATATGTAACTATGGGAGCAGAAAGTTAACCTCTTCACCCCTCCCTAAGGCATAACAATCAGAAACTGACTTTGGATCCTTGACCAATTTGTCATAGCATGTTTCCCACTGACTGTACTTTTCATTGTAGACCAGGCTTTCCACGCAATATATAAACGGGAAGTGTTCTTTCTGCAGGTAGATGTTAAAACTCAATTAGATAACAAGACTAGGAGTGGCAAAAGAATTCATTTTTTCCATCATTCCTCCTATTCATTACTAATGAAAATCCACTGGATCACATTTCAAAATCATCTACATCCATTGAAATCAATGAAACTTTCAATTTTTAAAATATTTAGTTACTTTACTCATTTCAGTCATATTCCAGGAATTTTCCATGTATTTTCAAGGGTGTTTTTGAATAATACCAAAAACCTAAAGGTTATCTTAAAAGTTCCCTCAAAATGAATCCAAGCAATCCCCATGATACACTTAGATAACATAAAAAGAACACAAGAGCTTTCCTACTGTGAACCAATTTGGTAGCATTTTTTGTTAAATTTGCTTATTCTAATTTTCAGCACACAAGATAAACGACTTACACAAAGATCACTTCGTTTAAACTTAATATAGAAAGACATCTTGATTCAAACATGACTGGATGTACAAATGTAAAAAGTAAAAAGCTCCTAAGTAGATTTTGACTTACTTATTTGGGTGAAATGGACTATGAACAAGCACTATGAACTTCAATCACAAATGAACCAAAGAGCTAATAACCAAACCGAAACATACCACATCTGGCCAGGCATCAATAGCACAAGCCTCTACAGTGTTCAACAAACACTCATCCGCACCATGCTGCAGCAAAAACAGAGGAAATTCACGTGTTTAAATTGTACATCAATTCAAGAATCTCAAAGAGTGATGAAAATGGAAGGGTTATGAAGGACCTGGCACGTAAAGGTGTTGTTGTTTCCATGAAGCTTAGCATTACCCCAGGGAACGAGAGTAAGATCGACGATATCTATGATCCCATTTTCAAATATATTGACTAAATAATTAACTATGAAATTGGAACAGTAAGGGCAAAGGGATTCATAGTACAGATCCAGAGAAACCTTTTCAGAATCAGAATAAATGGGAGACATCGAGGAGAACAGGAGGAAAGAAACGAGAAGAAGAACTATGGTCTTCTGATGAGGGACCGCCATATGAGATGCCGATTGTATGCAGCTTCTTCAGGTTTACTATTGCCCAGCAGCCGGAAGGAGTCTGGGGTATATGGTCACGTTTGAAGAGATGATGAGGCGGCATGAAAGAAACGGATTGTATGCAGCTTCTTTATAATCTTTATAATATATGATGTGTTTTCGTCCAGGTGCATTTTGGTTAAAAACTTGAAAAATGTTTAGTGTACTTAGTAAACAAACTTTACACAAAACTCCCTAATTGCTCGTGTACACAAGCAATTCATTTAGAAAAGAGCAGAATTTGATACTTAATTGACTGTGTAAAGAGACAATGTACACATTTTGTGTACATCTTGTGTACACCAAGCATGGCCCTAAAATGTATGGGTTGCTTTGGCGCCCCCATTTTTACTTTCAAAAATGTTTTGTATACCAATTTTGGTGTATATATTTTGTACATTTGTCTGTCTTAGGCATAAAAAATTGTTTATCCCCAAACAATTCTATAGAGTTGTCTGTGGACATAAAATGTTTATATGCATGAGACAGATAAGTGTACATAAAATAAAATGTACACAAAAATATATACACCTAGGTAACACAGGTGATATAAGACACCTAGCCATAAATCACTTCTTCGTAGACTAGAACCGGTTAGATCTCAACGTTTCTTGAAAATCAATTGATATCATTAATTTATTATTATTACTATTAAATTATCTAAATACATCTATAATTATTTGCATCATGTTATAAATTCTTATGTAACGTATTAATACTTTCAACCATTAAATAAAGCTTACTAAACTTCTTTTAATCATGAAGTTTAGATTTAGATTGTGCTTAAAATTTGGAAAATAACTATGAGTATAGATCAACGAAAATAACTATGAATATAGATTGGGTGTATTATTTTTATAGCTTGACATTAAAAGTATTTTTTTAACGAGGCGGCTTAAATTGATATAAAAGCATTCGGCAAGGGAACAAGAAGATAAAATGACAACTTCCAACCATTGACCCTCGAACCCGACTTAGAGTCAATCACCCAGAAAAAAGCAATATGGCTCACTGATCCTGTAATGGGTCTAAATGAGCCTAACGTGGTTTGAGTAACCTCTCATCGCCCCAACCTAATGCAAGAATCTGGCAAAAGTAGGTGTACATGACAAACAAAACAACACGTAGTTCAAAGTAAAAACACAAACGTACAAAATAAAACAGAAACAGAAATAGTTGTCCAAGCCCTAGTCGCACAATTCCTCCATGGCGGCGGTTCGGGAGGGGGCAGATCAACCTCTCATTGTCTTCTTTCGCCCGTACACTCCTGTTTGGAGCCTCTTCCTCGCCCGCGACCTCCTCATCCAGACTCAAATAGCCCTAATCGTCCCCGAGAGTCAGCTTAGCACATTTGTTGACCACCTTCTCCATCTCTACCATAATCGTACAATAACTTGCTTATGCTCGAAGCACTGCCTCTGCCCTACTGCAAATTTGATGCCCTGGTTTGCTAGCCCTCCACAACCCGAATTGATGTCTTGCGGTGCTCGAATGTCCTCAACAACCTACAGACGACAGCAGCCTGCCGTCCCTTCTCGAAGCCCCCAGAGCCGAACCAAAAAAACCTGCAAAAATTAATACAAGAAAGAAACGTGAATCTGGAGCGAATGGCGATTTCCCCACTGATCACAACTCTGTGTTCCGAAGCTCGATATCCCCCACCGGACAAAGGCTCTCCACCAGCGCCATTACAAACTACTAGGGACAAACCCTAGAGACGGTCGCACGTTTTCATAAGGATATGTTGGAAAAATGTGTTAAAAATTGCATTAAATGGTCATTTTGGGGCAATTATTTGAGTGGGGTCCACTTCCGATTTGGGTCGGGTCAAAGTGGTTTCGGATTGTCCTTGTTAAGGGCTACAATTCGATATACGGTACGCTCAAAACGGATAACGGGTGAATGAGAAATTGATTCTCGAAGTTCGCTCGTTGAAATGGAAAAACTGGGAAAATGATGAGTTTCTAGTATGTTTTATCCCACACCGAAAAACTCAAGGGATTTTCACCCCCTTATAAAGGGAAGCCTCTTTTAAGGAGTTAAGATTCCTAAAGGGAAAGGCTCTCTCTTACGCGCAGGGGGGGGTGCCGATCAAATCCCGAAACGGAGAAGAAAAACCGCGACTCGTGTGCGTGTGGGACCTGCGGACACGAATGCCGTCCAAAAATCTATCTCTCAAGAGATATGGTTAATTTTTGTTTTCTTCCCGAAACGTTTATTTTTTCCCAGAAGTGCTCCGGACAGAAGGCCTCGGACAGAAACCCTCCAAGGGGGTTCTGTTGGCTTCGGACAGAAACCCTCCAAGGGGGTTCTGTTGGCTTCGGACAGAAACCCTCCAAGGGGGGTCTGTTGGCTTCGGACAGAAACCCTCCAAGGGGGTTCTGCTGGCTTCAGACAGAAACCCTCCAAGGGGTGTTCTGTTGGGGTCTTCTGTCGCGCACTTCTTCCGTTACAACGATTAATGCCCAACGTTCTTCTCTTTTAATGTTGCGTTAAATGGACAGTTTATGGACGATTCAATGCCCAACGGACTGGTCATTGGTGTCCAACGTTCAGGTCCATTAACACCCCATTTAACACACAACAAATCCTCCTATAAATAGCTGGCAGGTGCTTTGCAACAAACACACGGTTTGACAACGCACAACACTTTCCTCACGTTTTCTTGAGCTAAAAACTCTTCCAGCTACTCCCAAAATTCCTTCTGTGTTCATACTTGGTTCTCGTTCGTTGGAACTCTTGTTTGTGTGCTCAAACATTAGTTCGTAGTCATCGTATCCTGGGAAACGATTGTTGCAACGCTCCTAGCACCGTGGGAGGCAACAAATACGTTTTAAGGAAATCGTGCGTAGCACGAGCTTTGGCTAATTCTGCTTCATCTCCTTTCTTGTTTTTTCTCTAGTCATTTTATTTAATTAATTTATTTTAATTAATTTTCTTTATTTTCCGAAACACACCCAACAGGATATATATTTTGATTTGTTAATCCCCAAACCTTTGGATCTATTTTGAATTATTTTCCCGTGAACTTGACATTAAAAGTATTTATACATTCTAATAATGTTTTGATTATTTATGTTTTCTATTATTTCTTTCTCCTCTTCACAATTCTCAATTACATACTTCCTATGTCTCTTTTTAGTTGCAACAGTCAACATTTACGTTTGCCAACGCACAACTTTGACCGTCATTATATTTAATTCTGTATTAGTAAAAATAAAATAAAAATCAGATTATAAAACTTAGTAATGAGACAAATTTAACAATACTTTTCAAAAAAATAATTCACATACATTAATAAATAAAATGTAGTCAAAGTAAAGTATATGAATAGTGTATAGTTTTTTTCATATTTATTCTCCATGCCGACCACCTTGGAAAATTCTTAATGTACGGAGGGAGTAATTTTTAAACGCTTCGAATCTATTAAGGTCAATAACTTTGGTTGTTACTCTAGCGTAAATAACATTCGAGTACCGTTTGTAACACAACTTATGCTTCTCTAACCGTCTTGACAATAGAAGTTTTGGAGGGTATTGGCTTAGTAGGGAATCTCGATTTTGCCCTTGTGAGAAGTGTAACGTATATTGCATAAGTAGTAAAAGTGTTTCAAATTTTAATGTAGTAGATAACGTTTTCAAAGAGCCCATAGTAATGCTGGATTTTTAGTGAGTACTCCCTCACTCTCAAACTAGCATTTATTTGCCGGTTGATTTTCACAATTAAATAACGTCACTTAGATTGTGCTTAAAATTTGTAACCGTTAATTTCTTTGATTTTTTTAGAGACGCTCACATCCACTCATTCATTTTTTACTTCATCATTTCTTTGATTGAAGCATAAAGCATGACATCAATAGAGTTGATGGTCTCATATCAAATGTCCAAAAATGTTACGTAGTATATTTTACTCTCTTCGTCCCTCAATTAAGTTACGGGTTTCACTACACACATATTAAGAAAATAAATTTAACTTTACTGTGTGTAGACATTGTTTGGACACTGATGGAGTATATGGGTCTGAGCCCCCGGACCCACATACTCAGGAGAACGGAAGGCACAAGACACAGAGTGGCGCCCTCGTCGGCCAAGGGACCCCCGTCGGCCGAAAAGGTGCCAACCCAGATTATGGTCCTGGGCCCAAGGAACCCGGGTGCCCTCGTCGGCCGCGCCCTCGTCGGCCGTGCCCTCGTCGGCCACGCCCTCGTCGGCCACGAAGACCTCACAGAACCGGATTTTACACTTACTCAGTTGTACAGCCCATTAGTGGCTTTGTATTCGACCCAGTAGCGGTCCAGTTGTAAATGGGCCTCCCAAACCCAAGGCTTGGGAGCCCAACCCATATTTTCTCTATAAATACTCCCCTTGGGAGTAGTTATGGGGGTTACAAATTCATTCTATTGAAGCATATTATTGCACTTCTCTCTCTAGCTCTCACTTCTCTCTAGATATACTCTATCATTTGGTGCTCTCGTCGAGAGCTAGAACAATCAAGTTAGCACCCTTCGTCGCTACCAAGCACAGCTAACCACTGATCATGGGAAGAACTAAATCAAACCGCAACCTCGTCAGCAAGGCCATCCCTGAGGACCAAGAGCCCAGGGAGCACGATGAGGACGCCATGGCCGACCAGGTCGGCGGAGGGGACCTCTTCCAGGAGGCCTTCAACCTCACGACGGACCTCCGCAACCAACTCAACGGCGGAGCCCCTGATGCCCGCCTCGGCTTGGACAAGAAGCGAGCTGAGAAGACGGATCACGCCCCGGCCCAGACTATGGCCGCGGCCTCTCCGTCCGTGGATCCACAGGTCCAGGCCGCGCTTTCGGCCATCATCGCCAGCCTGGCTCAGAACCCCACCGTCCTCAGCGCACTCTTGCCAAAGACCGGGGGGAACGTCACTCAACCTCCTCAGTCCCAACCGTTGGCCGTCCAGATAGGCAACGATGAGGGGGTGGTGCCCCAGGACACGGCGTCGTCCCACTCCCACCCTGCTTCCCCTCTTCGGCCTGGGCAGACCCCAGCGCGTGGAAAAGCCTCTGCCTTCAACAGGCTAGGTGACACGCGTCGTCGTC